TCCGCCTGGTTGATCCCATAGATGGAGAGAGTGCTGTGTGGGGACATGAGAGGGACAAGCATCACACTGACTGCTATGGTGCCCATGCTGGCTCCCATGGCAGGGCATCCCACAGCCTCTGTTTCCACAGAAAGCTTTCAGGAAGCTGTGGGCTGGTGCTTTTGGGGAAGGAGAAGTCCAGGAGGTGGATGTGTCATTCCCTGTGACTGGGCAAATCTGTCTCGACTGCAGATACTGTGGTTCAGGTATAGCCAGATGTGGACACAGAGTGGGACAGGGAGCAGCAGGATCTAAAGGTGTGGGTTCAGGAAGATCCCAGCCACACCACAGAGCCAACTCTGTGGCAAGTGCATCCACACAGCCAAAACAGCTTTAACTGGCTTATCTCCAGTACACACCAGTGAGACCCATCCAGGCTAAGCCAAGTCCAATCAAACTCAGCCAGAAAGCCCTCTGGTGATGCTCTAATTGCATTATAGCACATTAGAGCTGTCTAAGGGTAACACTGGGATTAGCTGATTTATCCAGCAGGGTTATAGCCTCAGCTGCCTCTTCTGCACTTCCAGAACCACCATCATCATGAGCCAAAAGCCAAAGCTTATGAGCAAGTCATTTGTCTGCAGAACCTCTGTGTGTGAACCTTGCTGCCTTCCAGGGAAACAACTAGAGCAGCTCTTCCAGCCTGCTCTTGGGGGCTTCCATATCAGGTTTAGATGGTGTTTTCACCATCCAAGAAAGGACAGGCACTGACTACCCTGGAAAACATCCCTACAGGAGGGGGAAAAGCCAGCCATGTACCAGCTTCCCTAATGAGCACATTCCTGAGCACGATGTCCATCTCTGCACAAGGACAGCCAGAGTCTTTGTAGATGTGGCCACATGAACTGGAGGCCATTTCTGCACTGCAGGACCCTCCAGCAATAGCTGTGGACAACTGGAGCAAGTTCAGGGCCAGCTCAAAAGTTGCACCACCCAATATCTTTAAAACAACACCAGTGAATACTGAGTCAGAAATAATTGTGTGCCATATAAGCTCTGTCTTGCCATTTGAACATGCAAAGCAGCTTTTCTCAATAACAGCTGCTCACAAAAAGGGACCCATCAATGAAAGCTCCACTCCAAGCCAAGCCAGGAACAACACGAGTCAGGATGTGAATCCATCAGACACAAGGCTTCCTATATAAATAAATAAATAAATTTCAAGTGTATCCCCCTTCTAAGGCATGGCATGGTCACTGTCACCACTGGGTACAGCTCTGAGCTGGAAAGGCAGATTTGACACTGGAGGTGTTCTTTTACCAAACTCTGAGGCAACAGCTCCAGTTATGGCAAAATCTGCCAACAATGCCTTTGGTCCTGGGAGGGTGTTCTCACACACAGGACATCCCTGGGAAAACTTCAGAAGCTCACATGAGCTTTTTCTTACTTTTCCATAAAAAATGACCGAAACCTAATGAAATCCACATCCACTACTTGCGTCTAAAGAGAAACAAATTACTTTTTTCTCCTGCAGTGAATTCTAGGTGGACCTGGAACCTGACTGCACATGAGTAAATCCCAAGCATCCCTGCTGATGCAGGGGACACTTCAAGGCTTTTTGGGAATCGCAATCAAAGCCGCCTTTTATGTAAATGAAAAACTGAACATTGGAAGTGGAAATGATAAATAACCTGCCACTGCCTGCCTGTATGTCAGAACAAATGCTTCTTCTAATTGCAGCAAAATATTGGTCTTCATATATTAAAATTTATTATTGCTGTTGATTTAACATTCCTATTTCTGCCTTGCAAATTATCGGGGGCCATGGTGAGTGAGCAAATGTTTAACAGTCATCTATTTATGTCCTGTGCCTTTGTTTCCTTGGAAACATTGTAAATGGAATATCAAATGTGATGGTTTCAGCTGATATGGTGATTTTCGAGAATCAGCCCTAAGCTCCTCTCATAGCCATGGGCTCAACGTATCTGATTAAATGGAAGGAGAAAGGCAGAGCTGGGAGAGGGCTCGGGGAGGAAGGAGCCGATGTGTGGCTCAGCTGTGTCAACAAGGGCTGGCTCCTGTGAGGACAGATGGCAGAAGGCAGAATTACGCCATCCCAGAGCTGCACTCCCAGCCCTGCACAAAGCAGATGTGTGGAAGGAGCAGCAGCACTTCCTTCTGCCCCGTCAATGCAGGGATTATTTCCATGTGGCTGCTGTGCATCTGGGCACCCAGAGCAGCCAGCCTGGGCTGCCACACGGACCAAGAGCAGCCTTAAGCTTGCCAAGCACAAAGCAGATCTGGACCAAGGGGTGTTTAGGCTCTGCTGCCTCCAGGTGCATTTACTTGCTCTGCTTAGAGAGAGGAAGATGTGAAAGGAGGGAGGAAGAGGGGAGCTATGCTGAAAAGCAGTGCAAGGAGCCTGATGGCAGTGCTGTGATTCTGGGGCCAGAGACTCCTCTCTCCTGGGAGGATTTGGGGGTGAGCAAAGCTCCTCATGTAGGACACAGATGATGTGAAGGATGCCAGTGGTCCTGGAAGGATGGCACTTGGCCACTGGGACCTGGAGCTGAGCAGAGTCTCTGTCATCCACAGTCAAGTCAAAAGAAATAAATAGTATTTTCTGGGAAGTTGGCATGGCACATAGCTGGAAATTTGCTTCAGGCTTCAAAAAGTTCATTTTCATTGAGATTTCCTTGGCTGTGTTTGGATGTGCTGTGCAATGAGAGCCTTGGCCATCTGTTACCTGGAGCCCACATCAATGATACACAGGTAATGGGACAATAAAACAGCTGGATTTTTGGCTGTGAGAGCATGGACAAACTGGTGAACAGAATGCCCAGCATCTAAACACCAGCTCCATGAGAATCACCTCCCATGTGGAGGATGCAGTGCAGCAGGGCCAGCGTTCAGTCCAGGTTTTGCTGCTTTTTGTCTTTTTTTTTTTTTTTAAGAAAGCTCTAACAAAAGGAAGATCTGGAGTTGCCGTGTGAGAAGGCGCAGAGCGTCTCTGTGCATCAACCATCTGAAATATGCAGTGTCCTTTTATTTCCTCCCGTCAACACGAAAAAATCTGTCACTTTGGGACATCTGCTGCTGGAAAACTTTCCCGCGAGTGCCAGACTGGCAGCGCCGCGAGCACGTCAGACGAGGCGAGATGCCAGAAGGCTTTCTGCTGGTCACCAGAGCCGCTCGGCGAGCCGAGGGCTCCATCACATCCGCACACAATGCCCTGACAGGCATTGATGGAAGTGGGGAGAGGAGCTGCTGCAGATTCACACCCGGCTGAGCTGAACCGAGAGGCCTCCACTGCTCGAAAGCCGCCGTATTCCCAAGCTGTCTCCCCGGTTCATAGGCAATCAGGATGACTGATCTGGCTCGGGTCAGGGGTCCAGGCCGGTGACCGGAGATCGGCTTTCCAAAGGCTCCTCTGAAAAAGTCTGCGAACTGAAGGAAGGCTCTTCATCGATTCAGGAGCACAAAGGAGAGGGGCCCATCTGGGAAGGCACAGGCGCACAAAGGAGGGAGTGTGATGAAATTAATGCAGAGAGCAGGCTGTGGCTAGCAGGGACAGCATTCCGAGTGCCAGCAGATACAGAAAGCCACTAGTGGCACATTGAGATGCCCCATCCCTGCTCTGCCTGTTTGTCATTACCTGTGTTGTGCTGTGCTGCGTTGAATGATCTGTTCCTGGGCTGCTGGCCTGTACCACACTGGGAAGGAGCCTTTACCCCCCCAGCTTTGCAGAAATCCCCTGTATTCTGAAGGTTGCCTTTCACACTGGAAATTAAGGTGCAAAACTTGAAAAGTGACACTAAGCAAACACTGCATATCATTCCCAGCCCTCTATTCTATATATTCTACACATATTCTTACACATCCTGACATTAAATATCAAACAGAACACCCTAGGTGAAATTGGGTTGGGTTATGCAGAAGGACTCATTTCTGTTTTGCAGGTACTGCAGCTCACTGGCCAGGATCCCAGCCCAATCTTGTGATTTCAGACTCATCCAAGAGCAGCTTCTGGAAGGCTGTTGCTGGTCCCAGCCACACAGTCTGTTTAAATGAGCCACAGGGTACAATCACAGACTTAACTGAATCCTGCCCCAGGAAGCAGAGAAGCCTTTACATCTTCAGGACCATGAGGAAGCACAAAATATCTCAGAAAAAGCTACTGGAAGGAAGGGCAGAGCCTGTATTAGTAGGACTGCAAGGGCAGACACCTGTGAGAGCTCTCCGCTGCTAAACTGAAAGTCCCCCAAACTTTTCCCAAGCAAGCAGCACAGATACTGGAGCAGAAAAAGACCCAACCTCATTTAGGGGAGACTAATTTTAGGCTACACCACTATGGGCTCAGTCCTGCCTCAAAGCCTCCTGTGTAAGGACCATTTTCTGCTGATGGATTTTGCTGTGTGCAACAGTTGGAACAAACACTTAAACTCCTGACTCAATGCACTTCAAGAGCAGCTCAGTGGAGCAGCACACAGAGAAATTACACAGGCAACTTGGTAGCAAAATAATCACAGCCACATGAGAAGGAGATGCTGATGCCTGTTGCCGTTGGCTGATCCGGGGCTGCTGCAGGCCCTTTTTGTGGGATATGGCTGTGTGATCCCAGCACAGGACCCCTGCTTGGTGCAGGGATCACACTGATTCCACACTGCTTAGAGGGCTTTGTGTATTTGTGCAGCCGTCCTCCTTGCAAAGGCCATTTCCACGTGTCTTCCAAAGTCAAACCCATAAATTATGTTTAAATCAGGAGCAGCGGGTTCACATCCCCATCCTCCACATACTTATTTGTCATGCTTCTGGGAACTGAAATATGATTTGCTATAGAGCACTCTCCCCTCAATCACAACCATCTTCAAACTCGTGGCATAAGGAACTGCAGGCTTGCCTGTCCTCCCTTATGTGGTCCGAAACTGTACAAATTGAAGTGTTTGTAGGGAGTGTGCACCATGAAGGGATGTACAAACCCATCTGCACCTTTCCACACCCAGCTAATGTAGGGTTTACAGAAAAAAGCCACCTTTGGAATGACAGCCTCTGGTTTCCCTGGGTTTGGTACCAGAAGGGCTGTCAGGTCCCAGGAGCTGGGATGTTTGTGCTTGAAGGCCCCTCTGTTTCTGCACTGGGATTTAACAGCACGAGAAGTGCAAGAAGAGCAAAGTTGTCCTGATGTTTATTTACGAAGGAGTATTTCCCCTGATGAGCCTTGAACATTCATGGCCCTGGAAGTGAGACATTTCCAGAGCACTAAACCAAGAGCAAAACAGTGAGGAAGAATTTACAAAGGTCATCAAACAGAGCGAATGCCACCTGAGCCCAAATTCTAACAAAGCCCTTTTCCGGTGGAACAAATGAAGTCCCTTAATTACAATTTGTAAATATAATCTTCTTGGAAAATCAATATTTAGAGAGCCTGCCTTCTCTGAAGATGTTGGCCTTTGTTCCTTGTTATTATGGCAATATAAACCCCATAGTGTGATACACTTCCAGGCTGAAAATTACCTCCCTGAACCTGATTGGGTCAAAGGAAGAAAAGCAATAAACCTTTCACAGTGGTAATTTGGAGGCTATTTCATGCTTCCTTGTAAATTTTGAAGTAATAACCTAGAAACATAATTTTACACAAGCCCATGTGTAAATTAATTTTACACAAGCCCAACTTGGCCAGTAACCACACCTTCCTTCTGCAGCAGTACTCCACTTCTGGGATGGGCTGGTGAGGAATTTTGCTAGAACTTCCTTTTATACCTCTCCGGCATTTGGATCATGATCTATCAGAATCACTCCAGGAGCAACATGGGCATCTCTGATCAGCATAGAAGGACAGACTGCCACTGCTGGACACAGGGATGGCTCTACCAAAGGCCATAAGGCTCCATCAGCTTTTCCCTCAGAGAGCTTGGCTCAGCCCCTCACCCTGACAGCAATCGGCTGCATCCCCAGCCCAGGGGCTGCATGGCAAGGCAGCCCCATCGTCAGCTCCTTCAGTCATTTTTATTCACAGCTTTTAATGGAAAAGCCCACAATTCCCTATGCCTGAGCCTTCATGCATTTTTCATTAACAATTATCCGCTATCCCAGAACTGCTTTTGATTTTTTGCTAATCATCGATTGGCTATTTTGTTCCCACACAGCTGGCATTTTCAAAACATAACAACCACCTCTGGAGAGGGCACAGCAGAAGGCTGATCTTTAATGCTAATGTGCCCAGAAACCGTCAACACATCAGGTGATGGGAATTCACATCTGAGGCACCACGAGGGATGAGATATTTATTGGATGCAGCCCGTGAGGCTGATTTTACTGTGCTGAAAGCCTGGAAGTTGCTTAGCAAGTGAATGTCTGATGTTGTACCAGCAGTCACATCCAATCTCCAGTGAATCCAGTCCTGAAGCTCCATCCCAGCAATGAAGGGTTTTTGGAGTCCCCTCACCTTGCAGGGTATGCTCTCCTTGGATTTGCAGTTACTGCATATGAGTGACAGTGTGGGGTGAGGCAGATGCAAAAGGGCCCTTCACAGCTTTGGGAAGCAACAGATCCATTGGCTGTGGGTTTGTGCTGCTTGCAGGAATAGAGCAGAATCTCAAACACCATCTTCTGCAGGTCTGAACCTTGCTTTTGGCTGCGTTAATTTACAAAAATGAAGTTGCTCCCAATTACACATTTTGCAATCAATTAGTGCATGATATGTTTTGGGATGATTTACTGCTTTTTCCCTAAAAATCCCTTAGGGGGCATTCAGAACTCTATGACAATATTAAGCAGAGTTTTAATCCAAATGAATTTTCTAGGAAACCATATAATCTAATTAAAAAGCTCATGCTGCAGTTTAGTAGCTTCATCACTAGTGTATTCGAGATCCATCTTTACACAGACAAATATTTTCCAAGCGCAACAGACTGATAAATCCAAGATATAACCACAAACTGATTCTGCCTGGAACTAAGTGGGTTACAGCACTTAGTTATGCCCATGAGAGTAAAACAAGGGCAAACTTGAAAAAACTCAGGTAAAAAATCATCCATTGATGTGTCTCCTCTGTGTCTTGGAGCTCCCAGCCCTGCTGCACCAGTGAGGGCATTTTCAGACTGACAGCTTTGGAAACCACCAGGCATGGCCACTTGCCTGGAGCTGGAGGTTGGAGCCGACCAAGACTTGTGTGGAAGACAACAAAAGTTCAACACTGTTGAGTACAAGAGCCTGAGGGCTCAGCTTTACAATCACATTACTATAGCTTGAGAAGATGCCACGTGTCAGCTGAGCCCCAGGAACGGGCTGAGCTCCCTCAGCCTGTGCCAGATGCTGAAATCTGATCATTCAGCTTGCTGTGGAAAATACTGATGCTAAATTGTATTAAATGATTCCCATAAGAAAACGATTACAGAGATGTTCACCAAGCTGCAGTTCATGGGCATGGGTAGCACAGCTCCAGGCACAGGACCTGGCCAGGAGACGTGACCATGACCAAAGACCTGACTCCTGCTCTCCTCAAGTGAACAGGAATGATTTCACAGGGAAAACAACTGAGCAAGACACAGAGCTGGATTCAGTGTCACTTTTGCCATGGATTTAATGACCACTTCATCACTTTTGACTTCACTTCCTCATCAACAAAAAGGGATGCACTAAGTTCCCTCCTACCCCTTCTGCTCTGTTCATGCCACAAAGGGCAGACATGCCTCAGAAAGCCATACCATGAAGTAGAAGACCACACACCTGAGCTGAGTGTCATCTGTGTGAGAACATACAAAGTTTTTTGAAGCTCTAAAAACTTTCAGTTAGGAGAAAACCTCTGCTGATTGAGATGGTTTTATTACCACTCACACCTTATCCTTCTTGCATCGCACGTCCTTCCATCACTCATGTAACAAAGCTTTAAAACCCTTCAAACAAGACAACAAAAAGCCACATTATACAGACACTCAGAAAAATAAACTCACTCCTGTCCCCTGAGGAACAAACCATGGTGCCTGCACAGCACTTTCCAACTGTCTAAACTGAAGGTCCAGACCCTCCAGCGAGGCTGGGTACTTGCTTTCCTGAGACACATTTGTTAATATAGAGAGCAGCTCTATGACACCACAGAGTACAAACCTCTACCAATACATCAGCTTTACAATACAGGTGCTATTATTTTGTAGTATATTTTTTCATGCTATTTCCATAGAAACTACATTGTTGAGTGGTAATTTTCACACTAAGTGCATCATTTCCTCAGTGCAAACATCCCCATCCCCTCACAGGAAAATGCAGTTATTTAGTACTCAGAGAACACGTTCTTCCCTGGTGAGATAAAAGGCTAAAATTTTGTGAAAGTCAGGCTCCACACAAATATTATTTCTAATACATTTGCATTTGCACGCCCAGGAAGGTCAATGTTCAGGCATTAAAGCACAGTTCCTCTACTGAAGACTCTATGTGGTCCCTGTCAGCTCTAGGAACAACATTTAGCCCTTCCAGAAATACCCAGATGATAATCAGGACAAAAGCAAAATTTTTCCTGGGTTCCTGCATCAACAGTCAAAGTCTAATGCTGATGTCCTGGCACAAAAATTGATGGAGCACCAAACTGTAATACTGTAAGGTGCAGCCAGCAGGACTGGAGCAGTGTTTTAGTTTATCAAAGCCCAAGTTGAATTCACAGATCTGCTTCAGAACACTGCCACCTTCCCATCGGCTCTTTGCTATGCAGAAAGCAATCCAACATCTCTCCCACTCCCATTTCCACAGCAGTGCCAGAGCCCAGTGCCCCAGGACCTACCTGTTGTTGTTCTTCAGCTTGATGTGGTCGCTGGTCTCCAGGATCTGCCCGTTCCTCAGCCATGTGATCTGGGGAGGGGGCTCCCCTTGGGCCACGCATGTGAAGATGGCAGTAGTCCCCACGGGTCTGGAAATGGACTGGGGATGCTGCACAAACTCTGCTGGGGCTGAGAGGAGGAAGGAGAAAGAGGGTGAGAAAAGTCCTGATGATCCCACTTTATCCTGGTACAAAAAAACACCTCGTCAATAAGCCTTGTCTGCCCCGGAACGTGGAATACTTGTCCAGCCCACAGCACAGGCAGCAGGTAACTCTGGTTTGGATGGTGTGGCTGTAAGCAATGCAAAACTGCCTTTTGGTTGCCCACCAGGGCAGTCATGGCTTCACAGGAGGCGCCTGAAGGCCGGAGCAGAAGTGACTGAAAGCTGAGATGAGCCCTGCAGGGTTCAGCAAACAGGACCAAGGTTTAAGCTCCTTCACCTCTCCCTGGTCTCCCAGGGAAAGCGACCCCAGAGCTGCAGCTCGGGGGATGTGCTGTTTGCTCAACAGCAGAGCTCAACCAACACCCTGGCTACCTCTAAAGGACCTGAATGGCTTTAGCAAACTGCTTGAAATTGAAAGAAATGTATGGATATCATACAGCAGTCTGGCAGGATGTTCTCTCTGCAGTAAATATCAGATTTGCTGCAATTTTTCCTGTCAGCAGAAGATTAGGGAACCTTTTGTCTCCAGATCTTCAGCCTGGGACTTCTGGGGTCCTGCCAAGCCTTGCAGAACACTACACCATGCCTGTAACTGCTGCTCACCTTGCTACCAAATGTTTTCACCTTTGGCAGTAACATTTTTAAACAGAAAGCGATCTCTTCCTTCCAGCAGCTCAAATTAGATTTAAAATCATTTATCAGAATAAACCACTGTTTCAGCCTACAGAAAGCAGGGCCTGACAGACACTGCCGAATAGGTGAGATTATTCAAGCAGTTCTGCTTCAAAGGGCAAAGTGATAAATATACTGCATGTTGCTACTGAAACCTAAAATCAGGTGGAACCGGCAGCAGACACAATGAAGACAAACAGATAAGAGGCACAGCTCCATAATAAATTTACTGACTAACATCACGTAACGGATGGCTGACATTAAATTTTTTTGACAAAAGAAATTATCAAGGGAGACACATTCAGAGCCACTCACTGGCATTTTCTAAGCATGGGGTTGGTGGCTGTACCATGAACAGATATGTAGGGATTGGAGAAGGGAGCAAACTGGTCTAGAGAAATATACTGAGGAGTGGCCAGGCTGCAGGTGGGGATGCAAGAGTTGAGCATGGCCAAAACATCCCTTGGGGTTTCCTGCAGCATTTTGGGGGAATAAAGGTCTTTCCCAGCTGTGTGCAAGAGGTAACATGGCCAAACTACAGGACAGGCACTTGTGTGCGAGTACAAGTCCAGTTGTGCAGATTCTAAGTCCTCCAAGAAGGAAGACAGAAGAATTCATTCCGTAGCCTATCCCCCTTGAAGGAGCCCCCTTCTTCATTTTTAATAATCAGAGGGAAGTGGAGCATGGCAGGTCTGACTTATGTTACTGGTACAGGGTATCCGCCAGCAGAGTTTATTGTCAGGCCACTGCTGTCAGCGCTCGGCTCCACTAATGAACCTGATCCCAGCAACCCAATGGACACGTACTTCCAGAACCTCCTGCTAAACTTCCCCATGTGCCAATCAATCTCTTGCCCTTTTACTTCCCTTCTGTGTTTTTGCTCTAGACTTACAGATTAAAACAAAACTCAGGATGGGTTCAATAAAAGTTGGAAGCAAGGATAAACAGGGGGAAAACCCCTCATCCCTGCCATGAATGGCCCCTTTGTGGTGTACAGTGAGAGCATTAGAGACTTGATTTTCCTCAGCCTCCCGCCCCCCGCTTTGTGCTGGCGCAGTTTTGCAGGAGCAATTATTTTGCAAGTGGCTGTGCACCTCCCTGCTTTCATCTGGGCTGCCGAGCTGCACCCGCAGCACTCGCAGGTGCAAACCCACGATGCCAAGGAAGGGCACAGCCACCTTCCAGCTCCTCGCTGCAGCTTCATTAAAGATCCTCTTGGCTCTTTGCCTCTGCCTCCCGCTCGCTTCATCAAATCTCAAACCCACCGTTTGTTCAGCAGAAACAAAGTTGAAATATGGAAAGAAGCATCCGGCATAACCCTTGTGGAGCCGCCGGCTCTCTTATCCTCCCTTATTAGCCCGTGTCAAGAGGCAGTAATTGGAGGGGGTCGCGTGTGACTCGGGGTAACGAAGGCGCAGCTGCGGCCGCTGGCTCAGCGCCAGTCACGCTGCTTGGTGCCATGGCCCGCGGGTGCCTCGGGTCCCTGCTCCCCTCTGCCATCCTTTCTCTTTGCAGCCTTGCTAAACACAACCCCAGCCCCTGCCTAACTTGCTTTAACTCTCTGGGGAGCAGGATCCCACCTCTGCTGTGCCGAGCTGTCCCCTGTTCCATGGCATCCCTCACTGCAAGACATAGATTGCCCTTCTGCTGTTCTGCTCTTCCTGGCTTTCCCCAGATATCGCTCTGTCCTGTTGAGGTCTCAGTGCGAAGTTGTAGTACCAAAATGGCCCAGGTGAAAACAGAAACCCATGGAGTTAGAGGACATGGTCTGGGAACAGATGGAGTTTAAAGGACATGGATTGAGAGGGTGTCCCTCTGCTACCTGGACCAGGATGCACCCAACCTGTGTTCATAACCAGTGCCCCAAGGAAGGTGCCCTCAGGAAGCTGCTGGTGTGTGGTCTCAGGGTAAATGGCTCCTTTCCCGGGCAGAAAACCATCTCCTCTCCCAGGTCCTCTCCCCTGCCCTTCTCTTCCAAACAATTTTGACAGGATCCAAGAGTATGCCTGGGTTAGTGGGGAAGGAGCAGGAGCCAACCCTGCTGACTGCCAGCCTTGTCTTCAGCCAAGCCCTGCCCACTGCAGCCCTTCACCCTCCTCATCACTCATAATTCACAGAGCATCTTGCCAGGGCCCATCCCACCCTGCATGGAGGTGCAGTGGCCTGAGCACCTCTGCCCCTTCCACACTACGTGCCAAAAGGCCATCACAGGCAGCCAGAGCAAGCATTTCTCAGTCCTCCATTAAGATTTAATAAAGATACTAATAGAGATCACTGTTAAGAGCAGAGGATTCAAACGTGGCAAGGAGGAGTGGGCAGGATCCAGCCCTGGCTTTTGAAGTATGAAGAAACCAGAGCATTGATTATTCAAGACTTAATGGGAGGGAGGGGATCTTGCAGTTTTAATGAATATTTAAAGCATGACATTGGTATCAAAAAGCAATAACACTTAATACCACCCCCAGAATCATTAACAAAGTGATTCAGTAGCTTTTACTGTGCTCAGCAAACTGTGATAGCGTGGAGATGCACTGCAACAGCAGCTTCTAACAGGAGACCCCAGTGGGCTCCATCTCTTTTGGGACAAGTCAGCAGGGCCCAGCAACCAGTGTGTCCCCCAAGATATCAGGGAGCTTTGCTGTCTTGCTGTGAGGTTGTGGTGTGGTGCTTATGGCAGTGTCTGATGGCTCACACATGGTCCCAAGGAGCACTGAGAAGATCCTAAGGTTGAGGGAGCACTGACAGCCAATGCTCTGGTGCCAGACCAACCCGTGCCTCTTGCATCCCAGTAGGAAGTGTCATTAATTCTCAAGTTGACAGAGTGGCAGGGTTGAGAAGGGAGGCTGGGGTGAAGAGAAGGAAGAATAACATGGAAACAACAAAACCTCATAAATTAGGCTACTGGCACCCACAGTAAGGGTATAAAGGAGAAGTCAGGTCAATGGGGAAGTCACTCAAGCACAGCAAATGGTGACAGGAGATTTAAGACAATTGCTGCTCACTTGGCTTCTCTTTCTTTACTCTAGAGGATACTCAGATGTTTACTTGAATAACTTACAGCAGCAGTGATGGGACTGGAAGGGCCAAAGATGGAAGCTGTGCCCATGTCCCCTGGAAAACAGGCAGAGGACCCTCAAGGAGGCTGTCATGGAGGCTGCCTTTCAGCCCTCATGAAATTCTTGTCCCAGCAAGGTACAGGCTGGAGCTCCACAGCAGCAGGTTATGTTCCCATGTCACCCACAAGTGTGGTCCTGGAAGAAAGGTCCACAGGGATCAGACACCCTAACTCACTTCAGCATCCTGACAGACAAGATCTGAGTGCCCACCTGTCCCTGTGTGGTGGCTTTTCTTGAGAAGAAAAATGTGGACAGGAAGGGAACTGCCCCATGGGGGACACTGACTCACACAGCACATACTGAAGCTGGTTTGCAGAATGAATTCAGGGCTAAACTCAAGGACAAACCAAGTACCACAGAGCCAAGCCTAAACCACAGCAACTGCAATTCATGTGCTGCTGAATTCCAGCCCCAGCCAAGGCTTGTGATGCCAGCGAGCAGCAACGATGGAAGAAACATCAGGAAGCGCAGCGGTGGCCGGATCTGCTGGACCAAGGAGCGCTGCCCAGTCCTGCCAACAGCAAGCAAGGCAAACAAGGCAGGCATTGTCAGCAGAGCCTTCAAACCCATGTCCTTAAGATGGGCCCTCATTTATGAGATGGGATCTCATTTTTCTGCATAGCTTTCAGGAGGAAATGAAGCGTGGAGTGGAGAACACTGGTGACCATCTGGCCATTCACAGCCCATCAGTTTGTTATGACACCAAACACATAATAAAGCACAAAAGATTGCACAGGAGGTAGAGGAAAAGTGCTTTGATATATTTTTTCCCTTGCCACTGAAGCCTGCTCTTCCCTCGCCTCACACACACGCACACCCTCGGCTTCAGTCGGCGCCGCATTCGGCCCTCCGACAACTCCCCCCGTGAGACTTTCATTGGAAGCCCAGCACAAAGCAATATTCAAATGGCTGCGCTGGGATCTGAAGGGAAAATGGAAACTTTCTTGTGTGAGAACCTTACAAAAGAGATCAAAGGAGCCTAAATGGCCAAGGGAGGGCAGGGAGGGAAGGAGTGGGGGATTGACGCCTTCTCCTCTGGAGGGAGGAGGAATTCCCAGGAAGATAATAAGATGGTGTTAGATTATCTGAAGGAAAATCTGCAATGGAAAGGACATTATTGATGGAGGAAGAGCAGTATTGGGACACCTCTGCCCACGAAGCTGTTGGATGGGACAAGGACCACTGCTGGCAGCAGGAGGGAGGACGTGGTCTCAGTTCCAGCCTCCTGCTAACTCCTTGCCTTACAACAGGAAACATCGTCCTTTCTCCTACAGTTTCCCACCTATAAAACGTCCCGCCTTCAAAAGACTGGGGCAAGTTAATTTGTGCCTCCAGGCACTTCAAGGGCCCCTGCATAAAGGCAGCAAGTACCTGGCCTGGTGTGCTTTGAGGATGCCGTATTGTCCTAGCCCTGTGCTAACTTCCTCTCCAGCCAGGCTTTTGATAGCCCGCTCTTTGCTTTTCTTCTCTTTACGGATGTAATTTGCATCGCTGACATCTTGACAAAGATAAAACCCACAGTCTCCCATGTCAGTCATTATCACTGTTTTCTTCCCAGATGAACCTGAACAGCAATCATTTGTACCTCTCAGCTGGAAAATTCAGGCAAAATGAGATGCAGAGGCAGGAAAAACTGCTTCCAGAGGGAGAGTGAGCAAACCTGGGATGAGCTCAGTTGCCTGGCCAGGGTCTGCCCCTACCCTGCTTGGGGAACATTCCCCTAAAAAACATGAAGCATTTTAAGGGTGGGCAATACAGGTTGGGGTCCTGGACACTGCAGGTCCTGTCTAAGGGTTACTCCAAGGACACACTGGCCACACTTCTCCACACCACTGCCACCTTCTCTGATGATGCTGAATGCAGGAGCATCCTGCTTCTGCAGAAAGACTGGGCTCCTATGGCCCTGTGAGTGACATTTTAGGGACAAATTCTCATCGTGGCTTGCCAGGAGAATATCCACAGTAATTCTACATCAGTTGAACTCCAGCACTAGACCAGTTGTTCAAGAGCTGATGCTCAAATCTCCAAAAAGACTAAAAACTGCTATCTGTAGTAATGAGAAGTTGTGCTACCTTTCACCCTCTCATTCAGTTGCTAACAAGTGCAGTCAACCATATTCAATAGCTGAATTTTTAAAACTTCATTGATTTTCCAAGTAAATTGTTTTGGGTCTGCCTCCCAGTCTCCTGGACATCAGCTTGGCATTTGGGCTTAGGAGACCTCTCCTACATGCACCATGTGCAGAGCTGTCCTGCAGCAGCTCTGAAGGGTTTGTATCAGCACAGAGAGGTTGCTTTTAATGCTGGGGTTGGTGTTTCTTAATAAGGGGATTCATAGCTGTGCCAGCTGGGAGGTCCCCTCATCACACTGCTCACCCAGAAATCCAAGAGCAATAGAAACAGTGAGTTTTCACCTTGTCTCATTGTCTGATCAGCACCTGGGGCTCGGGAGGCACAGGCAGCCCTTTTACCCCTTCCACACTGCTCCTCCACGGCTGGCGGGATCACCGCCTGTGACTCCGCGGTCTGCGGGGACACCAGGGCTGGAGCAGGGTGAGCGTCAGGGCTGGAGCAGGGTGAGCGTCAGGGCTGGAGCAGGGCACTTTCCCCATCAGCAGCAGAAAGGTTCAATTAGCAGCTCCGGCAGGAGGTGTGTAATTTTAGATTCAGGATATCATCAGTCAATAGTTAATGAGTGAGCTGATGAGAGCGTGAGATGCTTCAAGTGGACTAGCTTGAAGAGGAGGTGAGTGCCTGTAATCAGGGGCGGATTGCTGCCATTCAGAGCGCACTGCCAGCTGGGTTTGCCTTCTCAAATGCTTGCCTGGCTCCCCTCACCATGGAGACTGGTCTCACGGAGCATGTGGAAGGGATTTGTGTGCTTTCCCTAGTGCTGATCTCTACTTTGGGCTGAACTGCCCTTTACAAGTAGCATTTCAGGACAGTTACTGCAGGAAGAAGAGCAACCTGTATCCCATGGGCACAGCCCCCAAAGGGTGCCTCACTAGGTCCTGGCAACTGGCTCAGACTTAGTGTCAACTGCTACATGAAACAGTCTCACAGACCTTTTGGAAACGGTTTTAGACTTACTGGTGCCATTTCAGTTGGAAAGCAATACTCTGTGAGTGGTATCCACTGCTGCATATCACTGCAGGAGTCATATCTATCATTCAGAGGTGTCCAGTATGAGAACAGTGACCATGTCCTTGTTTCACTAAGGTCCACGAGACAAATCTGGCTGATTAATTCAGGCTTTCGGCTGAGATGCACAAGTATGGTAACAAGTAACAACCAGAGTCTGCTAAGACAATGCCTGTGATGGGGTGAGAGATCACTGTAGCCCAAATAGCTGATGCCTCAGTTGAACCACACCTGGTTGCGACTCACCTGTGTGGGACACAGACTCACCCCCACTTGGGAAACCACATGTCAAGGAAAGAAGTGCTTTGCCTGGTACCACCAGAGGAGTGAAGTCAGCAGCTGCCCACCCCAAGCCCTCGGGGTGCCAGGGCTCACCTTGCACGACGAGGCTGCCCTGCGCCGTGCGGCGCACGCGCGTGCCGGGCTTGTTGGCGGCGCACACGTAGATGCCAGAGTGCTGCACCGTGAGGTCCGAGATCATGAGGTTTCCTGTGCCCAGCACCTGGATCCCCTCCACGCCAATCGGGCGGCCGTCTGAAAGAAGGGGAGAAGGACAAGAGTCACATGCTGGACCTTTGGGCAAGGTTCTCCAGGGCACAGCCCTCAGTGAGATCCAATCTAAGTACTGATGGAGTGGTGCCATGTTCTGCTACTGCCATGTGCCAAGTAAAGTCAATAGGATTTAGCTGATGCTCTTATCAGAACTGCCTTCTGCAGAAATCAGATCCTTATTTACATGTTTGCCCCAAATCACTCTTTGCTGCTTAAAAACCCAAAGTACCACCACAGGAAAAGTGAAAGCTTTCAACCATGTGTTCAGATTAAGATGAAGTACCCAGAACACAGTTCAACAGAGTGGTTAAACCAAGTTAAATCATCTCTGAGCCATTGCCTGCATTCTTCCATTAGAATGAGCAGGGATCCACTTAGCTCAATAGCCTATTTCCAACAGAAAGGCTTCATGAAGAAGTCGAGCTAACCTACTCCAGTGCTTCCCTGATGCACTTTCCCAGCCACCAGCAATTTATGACCTGCAGATTACCTCACCCAGAAGTTACACCACTTTACCTGTTAACCCTTGATGGATTTTTGTGGCTTCTGCAAGTAAGAGAACCCTGGATTTTTGATTCCTTGGCCCTTGAACACACACTAGCTCAAGGCTGAGGAGCTGGTCTCTCAGCTGGTGGTTAGATCTCATTTACTGTGGCTTGGAAGGGCAACTGAAAAGGGCTGCCCCCACCCCAAGTGCTGGATATGAGGCACATGAAATAGTTCAGTATCAGGGAATTCACTTTTATCCTATTTTCTCTGGAAAATTCCCAGCCAGCTCTAATTACAATGTGTTTCATTAGTATCAGGCTATTGCTTTCTATTGTTTCATTGATTTGTGTTTTAAGACACTGTCTGACAAAGGCAGCTCTAAATCAGGCCTAGCACATGTCAGGGTGTCTGAGCAGAGGGGCAAGGCAGGGGAGTTTTACTGGAGAAGCAGTTAAAGGGAGCACCCTTTCATCAGGAATCAGGGATTCAGTTCTCCCAAGTTTGCTCATGGAGTAAAGAACCTACAGAAACCAGAGAAGCAAGAACCAGCCCTGGTGATGGCCCCACCTGGCCTCCCCATGAGACTTCCATACTCATGTTTTTCAGGAAATTTTGAAGCTTGAAGGTTTCATTGCTTCATTAGACAGGAAATGCCAGAGCTCTTCATTATTTGCATTGCAAAGAAAAATGCTTGGATCTTTTAGAGACAGAAAAACAATGTCATTAAAGAATCACACTGCTGGCCAAGCCACCGCTGCAGTAAATGGCTCAGTCATAAAAAAGACAGTAAAACATGACCTGTCCCACATTTAATGAGCAATAACAAGGAACCATTCCTTCCAAACAGCATTTGAACTGAAGTGTAAAGAGGTCTGAATTAAATCCAAATTGAACTTGATTTCATCTTTTAAGTTAGACCTTTCAGAAGTCTGTATTTACAATAGGTGTAAAAATCAAATCTCTCTCTTGAGGGAGGGATGGGACCAGTGAAAGATGTGAAGTGGTCACACCTGGATCCTTCATCACCTCAGTGCCTTGAGAAATACCACAGAAATGGGACTTGAATGTCAGCAGTTTTACTGTATTATTTATAACGTCCTCCATCATTTTAGCATGCAAAGACAGCCTGCAGCAGGTGCTCCCACCTCCCCACCACCCAGTCCAAATACCAGTATCAATATGCCCTCAGTTATCTCTCCAATTCCAACTATTAGAAGTCTGGTGGTCTGAGGAAACATCTCCTGTCTGCACATCTTTCATTTTCCTGGAGAACAAAGCCCTCCAAGCTCAGAAGCCTTGCTGGATCTGCCATGTGGGTCAGTGTGGCCACCTCTAACAGCCAACAAAGATCACTGGGCCTGATCACCTCAGACACTTCTCACTCAAACCCTCCTTTTCCAAAAGCACTGAAAAGGACTTCTACAGAAACATCTCTACTTTCCCAGTCTGTTCCATCCTTCTCACTCTGTGCCTCCCTCAGCCTGAGCCATCCTGCAGTCAGCTAGAAGGTCTTCAGCTAATATCTAGTCCAACTTACAAACACTGACAACACATATAAATAATACAGAGTGTTTACACAAGAAATTCCTTGCATCCTGAAAGCTCAGCACTTTGCAGAACCGCTGTGCTGAGGGACTCACACCTGCTTTGCAAGGGTTGCTATTTATTTTAACCCTGTTTTCTTTCAGGGAGACCTGAAGAATGGTTTGGATCAGGCAATCCAAACCCTGCAAATCCACCTCCCTGGCATCACCTGCCACCACTAAGTCATCTCTTCATGGAGGAGATCTGAAAGACTGCAAAAGCCAACGCTTGCTCAGTTCCCAGAGCTGTCAGAACCCAGGCAGGCTTGAAACCACTGCTCATTTAACATGACCTTCTGCTTCTTTTAAAGAAGTCAAAAGCAGAAAATTTGAGGGCTGAAAAAAGGCCAGTCTGGAGGGAAATGCCTGACAGGTTTTCTCTTTCAATCCCTCAGCTGATGAGGACAAAAAGGGGAGGTTCAGCTCTTGTGAAGAGCAGAGTGACCTCTAATTAATAAAGGAGACCATTCTCCAAATGGGAGATGCTCCCAAAAGATGCTCTGGCTATAGACAAGTAGAAACTTCACTGAATCATAAATGGTTTGGTTTGGAAGGGACCATAAAGATCATCTCATTCCCATCCCCTTTCCATGGGCAGAGACACATTCCACTACCCCAGGTTGCTCCAAGCCCCGGCCAACCTGGCCTTGGACACTTCCAGAGATGGGGCAGTCACAGCTTCTCTGGGGAACCTGCACCAGGGCCTCCCCACCCTCACAGGGAAGAATTTCTTCCTAACACCCAATCTAAATCTACCCTCTTTCAGCTTAAAGCCATTCCCACCTTGTCCTATCACTGCACACCCTTGCAAAAGTCCTCCTCCAGCCTTCCTTTAGGTACTTCAGGTTCCCCGTGGGGGTGAAATCTAGATGAAGGACACCTGCAGTTTGGGAGCCACGTTATTTATTTTTCCAAGGTGTATGTGATGCTTTCTGGAGCCCATTCTCCGCCTGCTAACCGAGTGATTGGCACACCAGCACCAATTACAGAGCCCCTTAAAACGTGCCAGGCAATATGAATATGCAACAACACGAACGCCTTTCTTTTATAAGTAGCAAGTAGAAAGAAAGTAACAACTTTCTAATGTTGATCATTTAGGTCTTTTGTGAATTCTTTGTATTGTGTCATAGTAGCCTTCCACTTTTTAGACACATGGGTCTCCTGCTCCTGAGGACACCAGGCACTGTGGATTAGCATATTTAGAGTACATTGCAACAGTTGACTATTCAGTATGTGAAGTGGTGAAATTTACTCTATTATTTCTAAACACTTACTGGAACGGTGCTCCTGTCAACCAGTCAGCCATCTATTGCAAGCTTCTGTGTCCAATAAGTTACCAATTAATTGGCTCCTACAATTGTTGTATAGTTTACTTCTTGAATGGCTCCCTCTTTAGTAATTTCCTTCCCATTGTGCGGCCCTTTCTGACAACTTCTGTATAACGCTATCAGATAATCACTGTCCTTTCTTTCTCGCCTCACTTTTCTGTATCTCTCTAAATAGTTTATTATTCTGCTTTGGTACCTTTTATGGAGGCCAGCTCAGTGGCCTGTCAGTTAAAGGGTAAGGATACATTAAAATTGTCGCTCATTCAAAAGGCTTTGCAGTAAGTGCCCAGGATATTCATTTGTGCACACATACAGGTCCAAGCCTGAAGTGCGTAGCTCTGAAAGGAAAAGCCCTATCTTCCCTGAACAAACCCTTAATGATTTTACATCTCTCTCAGAGCCTGCTCTCTAATGAATGTTGACATTTCATGCACGGCGAGACACAGGAATTCTGTTTGTGGTCAGGGGCTACAACATATTCCCAAAGAAATTAAATTCAAAATTGATTGTGTGACACTCAAAAACTGGCCCAGAATTTGAATGATTTCCTTCATGCAAAATATAGCTAGCTGCTTTTCCCACTGAAAACCGGCCAGGTTTTAGCAAAGCCAAAGCAAGAAGTGCAAATGGTGTTTATGGCTTGCTTTCTTCTGTACCAGAAAGCTGTGAAAGCAAAATTGTTCTTTTGCTCCTTTTTGACAGAAGAAATGCCACAATGTCAAAACTGTGAGCAAAGGGGCTCAGAGAGAGTTTCCAAAAAGGCAATGTGCCCTGTGCAAAGTCCCAGCACAACAGCAATGCCACAGCTCTTCCTTACTTCTACAAGGCAAGAAAGATGCTCACACAAAATTGGCTTTTTTTGCTTAAATTAAGCCATTCCTATTGCTAAATCAGCTGGATCTCTCTAAGATTTTGTGGCTGTTGATTTTTTTATTTCTGCAAATGGATTAAAGAGATTTTTTTCCTAAGCTGAGTGAGTTATCTGTAAGAGGAACTTCAGGAAGAAGACCTTCACATGGAGGAAGGCAGAGCTGACAGATGCTCTGAGGACCTCCCTGTCCAGCACAAACCCCTCTCCTTCCCCGTGATCACACAGACAAGGAGACACGAAAGTGCTCCTGAAATGGCTACAAAGAGATGACAAAGCCTCCAAGTCATCAGAGAGCCCGTGCACGGCGTCGCTGTCAGGATCACTGTCATCTTAAACGAGACCTTGTGATGCTTTGGACAGGAAACATTCCTGCTGAAGGGAAGGGAAAATAACAAGATCTGTTTCCCATTCAGTAGCTCTGATTCTGCCACTGTGCTACAAAGTAGCGTGGAGAGGGGATTTAGTTTTGGTGGAAGGCAATGCTGAGCTCAGACCATCCAGACAAACATTGCACGGTGCCATTACATCTTCATTATTGCACTGCTCTATAGAGACAAGTGTTTTGAAGAAGGTAATAAGCACTTATAATTAAGGCAATTATAAAGTAGTTTATTATAGTTGAGCACTAACATAGAACTGTCTTGTGTCCAAGAGAACCAAACCAGTGATATAGAGTATCTGGGGAATTTTTAAAACAGCATCAATCTGATGGTTATGGCTCTGGAGGCAAAAATACCAGTTAGTGGCATACAAAGGCTGATTTTACAAGCCACTAGAGGATGCAGGGAGGGAAAACATGGAAAAAATGTGCAGCTGATATTGGATGCAAGTCCTCATTCCCTGGCAGGCAGCTCTGGAGTGGGAAATCACCGTCCCATGAGCTGACCATGACCCTTGGAGAGCTGTGGGGGTGAAGTCCCACATCCAGCACAGCAGCATGAGACAGAATTATCCCTGTTTGTGCTTCACAGCCACCTTGGGGGACACCAGGAGATGAGCATCCCAAAATTGATGTGACCTCAAGGACCTCAGGATCTCCAGAAATCCCTACTGAACCCAACCCCACTGTGCACACAGGCAGAGTTACAAGCTCTGGGAGATAAAACAAAATCCATCAGCTCTTCACTCAGCACAGGTTTCTGTACAGCAATGGAAGTGTTGTTCTGAGCAAAACAGTTTCTAAGCTATCATCACAAAGTTAGAACCTAAAATAAACCTTAGAGAAACACAGTCCTTTGCTCCTCCTTGCTTGCAGGATGCCATCAGAGACTGTCTCTGGTTTCCATGCTGATTTAAAAACATATCACGGACCCCAGCAGCAAGCATTTGTTTTTTCAGGGCTTCAGACGCACTTTAAACATTCTCTCCCCCTTAAAATTGTTTTAAAACCCCCTGAACAGGCAGCAAATTTCTTTTAAGTCTGTTTTTATGTGAAAGATGTGTTTGTGTATGATTTTGCTTCTCTAGGCCAACAGTGGTGATGTTTTTGATGCAGCAGCAGAAGATGCTGTCACTTGAGAAAAGATAAAATTATCACCTTTCATGAAACATCTACAGGTTTTACCAGCCCACTTCTCTAACAGCTGAAAACAGAATCTTGGCAGAGAGAAAAAACAAAGTGTAGACATGAGGATAAAAAGCACTTCAAGCCTACAATTACCTTCTGTGGGAAGGGAGAGGGTGAATCAGTTGTTGTATGAAACAGTCAGTGGCACCCACCTATTTCCTACGTGATGGCAATGGAGAGGAGGAGGAGGAGGAGCCCCCAGTGACCCCAGGGCTTACCCAGGCGGCTCCAGGAGACGATGGGCCGGGGGTTGCCGGTGGCGATGCACTCCAGCACCGCCGTCTGGTGCACGGTCAGCGTCAGGTTCTCCGGGCCCACGAGGATCATGGGGTCCTTGTACACGGTGGAGTGGGAGCCTGCAACGACAGCACCTTCGTCAGAATGCTCCTGATTGCCTCTTGTTCAAAGGGAACATCGAGGACTTCAGGCATCCTCTACATCTCCTCTAAGCACACATCCTCTTTCATCAGGAGCTGTAGTGATAGGAGAAGGAGTAATGAGTTCAAACTGGAAGAGGGGAAATGTAGGTTAGGTATTTGGAAAAGATTCTTCCGTGTTAGGGTGGTGAGGCCCTGGCACAGGCTGCCCAGAGAAGCTGTGGATTCCATCCCTGGAAGTGTTCAAGGCCAGGCTGGGCAGGACTTGGAGCAACCTGCTCTAGTGGAAGGTGTCCCTGTCCATGGCAGAGGGTGGAATGAAATGATCTTTAAGGGTCCTTCCAACTCAAGCCATTCCAGGATTCTAAATTCTGTGGCTGGTGTAACCCTCAATAAATCTGAGATGCACATGAAACAAAAGGAGCACAGTGTTTGTGTGACAGTCACATGGAACATATTTTAAGTGTGCATTGATTATTCCTGGGGAAAACTCCTGAAGAAATGATCCAGCCACAAACAGCCCTTTTAACACCTGGATATCAGCAACATAAAAAAGGAACTGCACTGTGAACTGCAAAGAGAAGATGTGCATGGTATATAAGGAAAACACAACATGAAAGACAGCAGGAATGCAAATAAATGAGGGAGTTGCTTTATCTTTCAGCATTTCAAGCCACAAGAATCCATACAGACCACAATGCCTAACTCTGTCTCTGTGAGCATCCTCTCTTTGGAGCTGCTGGTGTCACTTGCTGCAAAAGACCTGTCCTGGGACAAGGAGTGATGGAGGTAACAATCCCTGACTCCTGCTCAGGAGCTTTCTGAGAGGAAACTTCTCTGATGACTGCACCCTACTTTTTCCTACCATTTTCCTGCAAGGAGAGGATGCATCCCATTGCACTGATACAGCTGTGGCATATTTGCTGCTCGTGATACAATCACTAATCCTTTATTCGCACTATAGTAGCACCAAGTGGCAGCAACCAAGAATAAAACCCATCATGCAAGATGGATGTGCAGACCCATAACAGAACAAAATCCTGGTGCAAGGACCCTGGACACCAGACAGGCACAAGAAAGGCAAAAGGAAACACAATTTCACTAGACAGAATGACAGCATGGGACAAAAACATCATCCTGTGTTATATATACCACAGCTGAACCCACATCTCCTGAGTCCCTGAAAAGTGCCTTATCCCTGGGCCAAAAGTCCCTGCAGCCTTTGCTCCCATTTTCTGGAAGCAGGAGAGGAGAGCCCAAGAGATATTCTCAGTTCTCCATCAGTAAACAGGAACACTGAAAATCTCTGCATTAGTCTTCCTCCCTGTCTCTGATGAGAGCTGGGTAATACTCCAGAAATGCTGAGGTCAAAGCAGTGTTTAAGGAATTCCATCAATCTTACAGCTGCTGGCAAAAAAAGCTCTGTACACCTGCAAAGGGAAATACCTGGGCTGGTCATCTGCCCCCAGGCAGGAGTGGGGCACAGGAGGGCTGGGGAGCACAGCCCTGGCTGAGCTTTGCCAAAGGGATCACCCCACACTGACTCCTGGACAAGGACTTCCCAATGTTCAAAATGCTCGTTACAGGGAAGTGATCCACCAAAATCTATCTACAGGGGCTTTTCTCTGAGAAAAACAATTTCTTCCTGCACTTTTGAGTGTTACCCGTTCACAGCAGCTCAGGGGCTGGAATCAGGGCATAGCAGGGGGATTCCACAGTGGTCCAAGGGCAAGCACAGATCAGAGCAGCTCGTTTGGTAATTGTTCCTACGGGGGCTAAGCAGGGAGCAATAAAGCAACTCTGAGCTTGTGTGTAAATGGGCAAAATCCAAGAAAAATCACCGTGTCAGTGTGACTTAAGAGCTGACTTTCTCACTAAATGCATTTCACTGCAAGCCATAAAATGCAGATTTTTTGATGAGAACCAGAATGCACAATAAATTCATATGACCGGCTGGTTAACCCCAAGAGATCTGAAAAACAATACCTTCCCCTCAGTACCTTGGAGTGCCTTTAAAACCCATGTAGATTTATTGTTCTGAATCACAATACTAAATGTTCACGCTTAGAATAATACGGTATTATCAGCATATTATATAGCGATTTCAATATTTCAAAACACGGAGAAATGAAATGAATTGTCCAAGGTCACCCAAGAATACCAGCAGATGGGAGCCAAGCTCAAAGCAGAATTTATGAAATACACTACTTTGACAATAAAATATTTAAATATCACATTCTTTGATTTCTACTCTGAGTCTTAGATATTCAGGTTTTTGAGTGTGGATTCAGCTCCCTGAGTCTGGGCAAATGCTGTCCAACTCTGGAATTGGCATTTCCACCACAGCTCACCTTCTGCAAAGGCCATGGAATGGCCCCGTAGCTTTGCTGCTGAGCCCATCACCCACAGCAGTGACAGCTCCAGGGCCAGCAGGGACTGGGACAGAGAAGTCAGATGTCAGCACTGCACAAAGGGACCAACCATGTCCCAACATCAAGGAGGAGGTTTCCTTCTTCAATCAGACCAGCTCTTTGATGCAGGGTCAGGAAGGAAGGAGTGATAAAATGAAGGACTCGTGGCAGGCGAGTGCTGCTGGAGCTCAGCAGGGTTGACGGCAGCACAGGGATTTATTCTGAAAGGGGAAGAGGCTCTAATGATGACCGTGGTCCCCAGGGACTCTGCCAGCAGCAGTCACAGTGAGGATGGGGAGGTCCCCAGCACTGCCAGCAGTGACAGGCACTCCAGCAGGGACAGGAGCGTCGCCTGCCAGATCTTGATCAAAAGGACAGCCCAGAGAGAGCCACAGCTCACACTGGAAAGGTGTCAGTGCAGAGAGGCAGGCAGCCCCCTCGGGAGCAGCTCTGCTGAGCAGGCACTTGAAAAGAATCAATCAGCAGGACTGGAAGCCATCTCTGTGCTGCTCACTGCCGGCAGCCCCGCCACCACTGCCAGGCAGAGGAGGGAGAGCGCTGCAAGCAGGCTCCTTCATCCCCACGGGCAGCACCCTCCTCCTCCTCTCCTGCCGGGCTGTGGCAGTACCCTGCAGGGCACAGGCTTCCAGAGCCCATTCTCACATCTCCCTCCTCCCTCCCAAGCCAGGGCTTGGATTGGAAACGTCAGGGACGCTGACCTGGTGCTTCTCTGCTGGTGAAGCAATGGCTGAAGCTGCTGCCCGGCAGGGAAAAGTGGGAGCCCTTCTGCCATCATGAAGAGCAGAGAGACCATTCCCAAGATACAAAAGATTTGCAAGAATTCTGCTTACCCCATCATGCCTAATGCCCTGTGCACAGCAGCACTCACGTTAGCTCAGTATTTACTGACACAACACCCACACCAGCAAAGCAATGCCCCGTGCACCTCTGTGGCTCACCACAGCCTCTGCTGCCGTGCCAAAGCCAAGGGTTCACATGCTGACACATACCTGCTGTCCTGATTTAACAGATATTTGTGTGTTCTTGGCAAACACCACAGAGCATAAACCTTTTCCATGGAGGTTTAACCCAGTGCAATGAGTTTTCCATGCAAATGTCCAGTTACAGCAGTGCAGGCACTGAAACATGGTCCAAACCCTTCAACAAACACTTACACATGGTGCCCATATTCATCATCCGACTGCTTTAAGGAGGAGAAAAAACCACAAATGTTTCATGGACAGGAAACCTGCAAAATATCCATCTGCAATGAGGGATGGTCAGATGAGAACAATAGAGCTTTCTGCCCTGTGACAAATAATAACTCAGGCCAGTAAACTGACACAAAGAACTTCACCACATCGATAATTTACTGCTCTTTATTCCCTCTATGTGGCTACTGTTTGCAGAGATCAAGCAAACAGATAAGTAGCAGGTATCCAAAGCTCCTAGGTCTTTCAGAACCAGTTAACCTGCTTTCTTTCCCATCATAGTTGATATACACAACATCACTCTTCCCTCAGCTTCACCTCACTTCACACGTGCTGCCTTTTTACAGGCAGCAGAGGCTAATATGACACTTGGTACAGGTGTTAAGTCTGCTCCAGAACCACTGGCCAGGCAGTGTTTTGGAGGGTGATGGGAAGCTGTGAGATGTGTGCTGGAAAGCCTCCAGCTCCTGGGTACCAGCAATTACATGAATATGATGGACAGGAGCATCACAGCTCAGGGGAAAGACCTTTGGCTGCATGTAAGAAAGAAACACCCACTCAACCATCCCTGGGAAGACTTCCCCTGCCTGTTATCTCCAAAGATGCAATCTCCATTTCCACAGGGAATCTGGGATGTCCCACACTGGAGGGGATCTTAACAACTAAATCCAGAACAAGGAAGGTGTTATGGCTGGACAGAGGAACGCCTCTCAGTGTGTTAGCCTGAAGCTCTCTTAAACTGTCCTGGTCCAGAAGAGCAGTGGGAAGAAGGCGGGAAGGCAGCCAGGACAGCGCAGCTGGCACTAACCTGACACGGTGAGCCGGGCCTCCCGGCTGAACTTCACGTTAGCAATGTTGGTGGCAACGCAGTGAAATATCCCACTGTCTTCTGCCCTTAGCCCCGTTATCTGGAGAACCCCCTTGGGGAGCAGCGTGTACCTGTGGGAAGAGAAAACAGAATCAAAAGCTTGCAAAGCAGGACACGATGTGACAGCAGGCTGCACACCCATCCAGGCGAGGCAGGCTGGCTCCCTGCACCCCAGTGCAGAGGTGCCAATACCACCAGGATGTCAACACCCCTTTAGGCTGAGCCCACGCCTGCTTCTGCATCAGTTCTTAGGTTTTTTTGGATACTTGAGCCTCTGGTCTTCTTTTACAGGGGAATAAATGAAAATAATTTATCTCCTGATGCATCCTTGAGAAATAGTGATTTTTGTTGGAAGGCTACAAAATACATGCTTCCTATTTAAGCTGTGGAATAGCTGTGGCAGTGCATTTGCATGTGAAGACAGCTGACATTAGAGTTATCATGACATGGAAATTACCACTCATCAGCTGAAGCACAGTGACCAAGGACAGGCATCAGAAACCTGTGCTCCACGCTCCCCACTCCAGGCCCAGGACTCAAACCCATATGACCTTAAAACCTCAAATGCATGAAAAGGTATGTTTAAAATAAATATTGTGCGGGTAAATGTAAACATCAATAAATATTTTATATCTTTAAAACACAGACACACATTTAAATCACGCATGCATACACACATATATGTACACATACATTACAGGTTGCTTGGCAACCACTTGTTTAAATTGGCTGGTAGTAAGTCATTACACTGTGATGAGTTAATAATCCATTTCCGTCCGGAAGATGAAGAATATCTTTCTCCATATCAGCATATGGTTAAGTGTCTATAACCTGCTCCCCGCGCCGCGCTCCAAACGCGCGGCTCCGTGTCGGTGGCAGCACGACAGCAATCAGTTCTACACGGCCCCAAGTTGATTGCAATCTCTCTGGCACTTTAAAATGCCCATTGTTTTGGATGAATTATACTACAAGAAGCCTTCATTTTTGTTAACAATCTGCCCACAGCATTAGAAGATTCAATTCCAAAGCTATTATTCTGCCTTCAAAGCCTCCCAGTGCAAGACTTGGCATACAAATTTATATACACTTTATACGCAGAAATGCAGCAAGCATGATTAATGCAGAAATCCAATTCAGTTAGAGAAGCAACTCTCATCACCCAGGCTCTGGTGTCAGAGATTAATCTACTGAGCTGACAATGAAAAACTTCCCCAATAACTTTACTGCTACAAAAAGCCAAATCTCTTCAAAATCAGGACACAAATGTAAGGAAACTGTTCCTAGGCTACATCCTCCAGGGCTTGGGCAAATTCCCTTCCCCAGAGGAGAAGCAGCAGGAACAAGCACAGCTTGTACCTTTCTGGGTTGGAGAAAAGTCTTGGCTTCTCAGCCCTGGGGTTCCTCAGCCTTGGAGAAAAGAAGTCCCTGCCACATTTCTGACCATCTCCACAACTGGGCTCAAATGCAAAGGATCAGTGATGCATGAAGGACTTCAGGGGAACTTCACCTGTCCTGCAACATCTCACTGGCCACAAGGCATCCAGCACAGTTCTCCACCCCTTACTTCTGCTGATGCCACCTCGGATCAGTGGCTCTGCTCTACCACGTCCCCAGTTCAGCACCTGTATGAGTAAGGAGCCTTCAGAGGAGATCAAGTTCAACAAATCAACCTTGCACAGGGCTAAAAAAAGCTTAGCTGAAAAATGCAAGGAAAAACAACCTGACAGTTGCAGTTTTCCACAGCAGATTTGGGCCTCTTGGGTCCTTCTACTGTAAGTTCACTGCCACTCTGAGAAGGTCAGGCATTGTTCCAGCCCTCGTGTTCTCTCCTGCCTCCAAAGAACCCAACCACATTCTGCTGCAGAACTGACGTTTTTAAGAATAGGGGCTTTCAGGAAAATATTTACAGCTTCCTGGTTTCGCCTATTCCCAGGGCAGGGGCGTCAGTGTGTGCTGGAGGTGTGCTGTGAGCGATTGTGTCCCGGCAGCGGGCACGCGTTTCCTGCCAGCTGCGCCGCCCCTGCACCAAAGCCTGCTGAGGGAATGAGGGACCTTGGCTTCCGACGCCAAGGGAGCGCCTGTCAAACACAGGAAGCGGCGACGTGCCGCTCCAGGTCTGGGCTGGGAAGGGAGGCAGCTGGATTTTCTCCTTAGGAGATTGTTTGGGAAATGGCAGCTCAAGGTGCTGTGGGAAGCTCTCTGCAGAGCTCCGCAGTTGCCACACGTCAGGGAGTCCACCTGGGAATGGCAGTCACAGTGAAATTCAGCACTTGCAAGAGTGCGGGACCCATGGGCAAGATCCTAAGCCATGGATCTGTCTCAGAAAGAGTTACACAAAATGGAGCCATGGAGGGATGAAGGATGCCAAAGCTACCCAGCCCTTTGAGGCTTGCTGGGCAGGTCTCCATGCTGGAAAATAAACCTGGAGCAGGGTTGATCAGAGACGGTCATTGTAAGCCCTTCAAAATCAGCTAACAGCTTTATCTACTTCTCCTGGGAAATGTCAGTACTCCTACAAACCAGAAAAGCCACAACACATTAAACAAAAGAGTGTTCCATGGTGGAAACACTGGCCAAGACCCTTAGCCCAGGTTAGCTGTGTCTGAGCTCAACTGTGGAAGCAATAGAAAGTCTGGCCATCTTTTCCCACCTGGAGAAAGGCCAGCAGCAGCACATGGCTTGGACATGTCCTACCTTTCATTGTCTGTGTTGACTGGCATGCTGTTCTTATGCCATAGGATGACTGGCTCAGGCAAGCCGTGGATCTGGCACTGGAATCTTGCTACCCCGCCTTCCTCCACCACTGCATTCTGAGGGTGGATGTGGAAGTCAGACATTGCTGGAAGACAAAAAGAGAGACAAAATTATTCACATGTGAAGAAAGATCCAACTGGAAGATGTCAGCAACTTTACATGACCTAGAAACACACTCTCATTTCCTACAGAATGCAAATGGAACTGTAATGTAATGTAAGGGCAGAAGGCCAGCTTGCAGCCTAACCTTCTGCATGGAAAAACAAGACTAGTGGGAAGTTCTGGGTATCCCACCTGCCTCTGCACATTGAAATGATTGGCTCGACCAGAACAGCAGACTTTGCTCCAAGACCCTTGTGCTCAACAAGGTCTGCCAGGGCAGCGAGAAACACAAACACTGCACTGGCACTTACCAGAGGGCATTCCCAATAGCTTGAGCAGTCTTTGGATCCTAGTCCACATCAAAAGAGAGATGGATTCTTTCTGTTGCCAATCAATGTCTTACCTGTTGTAAATATCCTTCTGATATGTACAGCTTGCCTCCTAAACTCATGTTATTTAAATAACTAGAGCAGGAGAATGCCAAAATACCCTAGTGAAACATACAGCCCTTGATTTCCACCTGTTTGCAGGTGCTCCTGCTCATTGCATGCTCTGCCTTCCAGCACCACAGCAGAACAGCCACATCCCCAGGCTGGGGAGAAAAAGGAATCAGCCAAAAGAAAGAGCAGCTGCCAAGAGCTCAGCAAAATGGGGCTTTTGGGGCTGGGACCACCTGACAGCAAACGATGAGCCCCAGCATGCCCATGCAGGGTGAATACAGACCAGCCTGTTCCAGCAAGCCACAGCTGTAACCACCGTGTGGAAACACTCTGGCACGCTGTTAGAGCTACATAAATAATACCGTAATCATTACTATTAATTAATTGGAAGGTGCTGCCTGTTGACTCCGCAATAAACATATTCAAAGCTAATAAACATCCCAGTGGTTATTGAGCTCATGATTCATTTAAAGTGCTGCATCCACAGGAAGGTCTCTCTCATTACCACACAAAACAAACTCCAGGAGAACTCCCTGCTCTGCCGCCCCAGCCCGATGACACCGCTCTCCCCAGCAAGAAAACCTCGTCCCCTTTTACAAGCATCAAGTGCAATGGCTGTGGGTCTGCTAAGGAACAAGCTGCCTATGTGTCAGGGCAGCTTAATCATTCATCTGCAAACTGCAGTTGGGCTCAGGCAGATGGGAGATGGCCATTAGCAATCATACATTAAATATGTGTTGCATTAACCTGCGCTGCTCCCGCAACCACCGCTCTCAACCCGCTGATGGCAGATTTGTTAAGCTGATGGAGTAGCACGGAGCAAAGCCCCAGCCCTGCACAGTTGCAGGGTTGGGAAGGTTTTGTAGGTATGAGGGTGGGATGGGCAGCCAGCCCCACATCGGGAGCCAGACCGGGGAGTGGCTGCGCAATGTTCCAGCCAGATGGCGACACACCAGCACAAGGTGAAAGATCACGGAAAATTGTATTTCTCTTTCCCAAGATAAAAGCCAATGCAATTATCCTCTCTGGTATAGGATTATAGGATGGAGCCCAATAGTGCAATGGCAATTTACCCAATTCATATAGATTTAGCCTTGAAATGAGACTGATCATGGCTCAGAGCATTCAGACATGGAAAGGAGCCCAAAGGCTGCTAGGAGGTCTCTCATCACCAGGTGATGCCGCTTTCAAGGTGGCAAGGGATGCTTCAAAAATGAGGGATCCATGGGTGCCTGCAGCAGGGCAGCTCAAGGGAGCCTGCAGAACATTTCAAGGCTGGAGACCCAGACCAGGGTGAGCATTTTTGCAAAGTCAAAGCTTACGGACCTTCACCAAGAAATGAATCCAAGAATTACTGAGAATGACACAAAGCTCTCTGAAAATTTTTTTTAAAAAGCAGGGATTCAGATGCCTGTAGGAAAATTCCTTTCAAATGTACAGATGCTCAGCACTGAGGGTTTCTGGTGGTTGACAGGGTTGATAAAAGAGGGAGGTGTGAATGAGAACAGCCCAGCACAGACTTTGCTCTGCTGGCTACAGAATTCATCGCCATTCCTTTATTTCAATAATATCACCTCTTATAGGTAAAACTGCAGCAATAACCTCTACTCTTAAAGACACCAGTATTAATATTTATCATGAATAAAACATGGTAAGTTATAAATAATTCAGTTATGAGGATGTTAAGTAAAATATTACTCTTCAACGACACTATAATGTGGCTTTGAAGCACAGTTTTATGTTAAATGCCTAGGAAACACTGTGACCCTTGCCAAGACCAGCTGGTTTGCAGAAGATGCATTAAAAATTCATGCACTGAGCTACAAAATGCTATTTTTAAAACAAGTTTACGAGTTTATTTACAGTTGCAGAGACAAAAGACTTTTGGAGCATCTCCTGTAAAACAGCAACAAAACTTCAATGTGAGTGATTACTGGGTTTTCAGCCTGGGAATAAATCACTGGGGAGGAGGAGAGGAGAGGGACAGGAGCTCAACTGCTTCACAGGGCATTGCCTGGAGCAGCTAAATCTCTGCTGACCCATGTGAGGTTTTTACATACGTCCCAGCTGACTGTAACAAACTCATGCAGCAGAGTGCTGGCTCCTGTTTGTCACTTGCCTTCCCGTGGCAAGCGGCAGGACCGATACCAGCCGGGCGCTTTTGTTGCAGCCGCCAAGGAGAAGAGCTACAGTCAGCCCGGGTGGGGTTGGCCAGCAGCCAGGGAGCTGCAGTTCATTTCTATGCTAATGGCTATAATAATTTTAAAAATAAATACATGCAATCACAATATTCACCCGCGAGCTCCTAAGAGGGGAGGCACTCACTAATCCATCTGCCAGCGGTCTCTGCCATCCAGCAATGCAGCATCCATGTGCCAGTGGAGGGACTGGTGCTGGCCCAGGCCTTTTTTACCATCATCAGAGGAGTGAGTGCCACCCTGTTCACGTTAAATTTCCCTCTGCCATCTCCTTGTGTCATCAAGCCATAAAAAGAACATAAATCACATGCAGACTCATTGCTCCACATTAATGCTCCAAGCTGCGATGTCTCCGTGCTTCTGCTATCATCCCACCTGGATTTTGGCTGTGGTACACAGCAACCACCACAGGGCACAGCAGGACAAAATTAGGGCTTACAGCACACAGGGAATGGTCCTGGCAGCCCTTTGATGCTGCAGGCATGGAGAAGTCTCCTCCAAAAGATGCTGTCCAAGGCTAGATTCAGACTAATGTTGACTGTCTGCAGTCACACAGACACATGAAGCAGAGGAGTTACTCTTCTTCTCTGCTTCCCCTGTGTTATATAACTAAGGACCTCAACTAGGATGATGCTGGATCACAGGCAAGGCTCTACCATAAAGAAACCACCATGCTTGGGATTGCCCACCACTTAACCCCCAGTGGGATGCAGTCCCTGAAGGCATGTCCGATGGACACAGGTGAGCAGCAACTCTCATCCTCATCCATCCATGATTAATTCATGGAGGATTCATTCTGGGGTCTCCTCTAATCAAATCACAAGCACTTTCTCCATCCCAACAGGCCTGGTGGAAAGGCCAATGGAATAAAAATGAAAATAGCTATCGAGTGAAATTTTCTCTACTCCATAAAAAACTAAATTGAAACCATTAGTGGCCAATCCTTTTTTGCTCAGTGCAGCATTAGTGCTAAGCCAGAGATTGACCTAGATTTGATATAGAAAAAGAAAACATTAACTTGGTATGTCAAAGCAAATCCCAGGCCTTTAGAGTCATTAAAACACAAACATTGTGCAGGCACAAGGAGAGGAGGAAGACTTGAAAGGTTCAGTGCCAAACATGGTGTTAGGAGAGCATTTGGGAAGGCCAGCTAGTTCTGCAATCAAATTGTCTCTTGATTTTAAATTACTTATGGGGAAACAGAGACCCAGGCTGGCTCTGACACAAGATGATGCTGGGGAGGAGTGAGCACCCACACCATCACAGATGCCACACAGTCCACAAATAGCAGCACACAAGTGAAGATCCTTTCTTCACATTTCTGCCACCAACCTGTTAAATTCAGACCTTTTCCAATGGAGGCATGTGGTTAAAATGCCTCTCAGTTAACACAGTATAAGGAACAAGAGTTTTATGGGGGTGTGCCTCCAGATGCTCCTACCAAAGAGTGCAAACTTCATTATCTCAGTTACAGCTGAGGAAGGTGAATCTGGGAGGCAAATTATTTGCTCAGAGCAGAGAACAAGCCACAGGCAAGCTGACCCCTTCCAAGACTGGCTCCATTCCAGTGACTGCTGATACTGAATATACAGTGAGCTGCTGATATATACTGAATTTCTCTATGTACTAATAAAACTGAATTCCTCCTCAGGTCAGCAGAAGCCAGGGTTGTTTTTTAAAATGCAATGAACACCATTCCAATTAATGCCAAACATGAACCACTCTCAGATCAGGCTGAGAGCTCCAGCAGGACCAACAGAACCAACCTTCAATACCTGTGAGACTCACGGAGCACCCAACTCCTTTTCCTGAAAGCCACCACTACTAAGGCAAGCAGAGGGATTAAATTTTCAATTCCCTCTTGGCTTAAGAGACCTTTACCACTAAGTCAGCAACCTGCCAGGGAACATTCTCAAAGAAGTCAACAGGGGAAGGCTCTGCAGACTCAGGTCTTATTTGTCCTCTCCATACTCTGGAAATGGAGGATTTGCCAATGAGAAGGAGTCGGCACAAAAGACGGGGGGCGTGTGGACACCACAAATCCCATCCTCTCCTCTCTTCCCCTTCCTTCAAACAGCAACGCCTGCCCAAGCCTTTAAGAAAAAGACACTGAATCTTCTTTCAGTACTTTTTAAAGATGCATTTTTATAAAGCTAAAACCAAGGCCACGGCAGGCCAGCCCGGTGGCTACTCCAGCTGCAGAGCAGCCTCTGCGCCTGCGAGCCGGCCCTGCGTGTCTAATGACGCCTTTGTGCGAGGCTGTTGCTGAACTGCCATGAGCCCAATTTTGAATGCAAGTTGCTTTGTGCATAGTGAAGCGTGAACAACAGCGCCGCCCATTTATC